GCAGGGCAGCAGAGGAACCGCTTACAAACGCCTGATTGTGATGCAAAAGAAGGTTATCGTTACAACCGCAAGAAGGTTTCCTCTTTCATCACAATGTCGTATAGGGGAATCAAGTGCAAATCAAGCGATTTGTCAAAGTTGACGTGACGTCACTGGCACACCAGTTCGAACCTAGGCGAAATCGAACAAATCAGCATTAACTGGCCAATTTATCGGAGTGAAAAATGGTCGAAGAAATTGGGCCGATGCTTTGCTTGACCTTGGGATCTGTGCACCACCAGTAGAAAGTTTCTTTGGCTATTGGAGAAAATAGTTTGTACTGAAGGATCACACTGAAACAGTATGAAGTCGCCCTGTCGGATTTGGTCAGTGAACTTACTTTTTGCTGGTCCACCGAAAGAAAAAAATGTAGACATTCAGGTTCGCGTTACACTCCGTCCTGTTTCAATACTAACGTAGAAACCGGTAGGCATGTTGGACCGTTGTTTACAAGTGATTTTTCCCCACTTTTTTGACGACCACGTTGAGTTCCTAATTGAGTGCGTGCTGAACACTGAGGTCACACTTGTTTGCCCTAAAAAACCTATCTCAGTTTGTTGTCACTCCGGTTTGCGAAAGTTAGACTGTGCCCGTACTACAGGTCAGAAGATTGAAGTGTTTCGGGTTAACGGACTGACCGATTCGTTGACTGCAATATTTTCCTCAATGTTCTTACTACAATTTTCAGCATAACCCCAAATCCTTATTGATCAATGCACTGAAAAGACATTCATTGGCGAGGACCTAGTCGGATTGTCCGGTAGAAGGATCCACTTACTAACTAACACGTCATTTTATATGTGTATAATTTGCAAACCACTCTAGCGTAATTAATCGATAGAGTGATTGCTTTCTAACAAGAAGCCACACCTGCTAATCAGCTTGTAAACGGAAAGCAACCAATGCATCTTTATCATGAGGCTTTTACGATACTTCTTTTTCGTTGGACATTCACATAGAAGTTAACCACTTGGACTCAGATAAGAATGAGTAACAGGGAACAACTTGGATTATTTCCAGTGCCCCCCCTCCTGTGGTTAGTCAGCGTTGCAGGACAAATTCTTGAGTAATCGAACACTGAAATCGTGATTAAATACTCTGGGCGGAAATATGACGAAACTAGAAAATATCTTTGCGAATATTTTAAGGAAAACTCATCCGAAAACCTTGTTTTATTCAAAGTTGAAATCCCACTCAGTTGGAGCAGTCTGAGATTTGTCAAGCGGCTACAAAATAAACGCGCATGTGGGTGTTTTCAACCAGTGATCTAAAAGCTTGAATGGTACTCAACTGGTCTCGCGTAAACGGGACTAACGCTCTGCCTTGGAAGAAGTCACTGGAGTCCAGAGCTTTTTCTTGAATACTTATCCAAGCCATCGCTGTGCATCACTTCACTCCTTAACAACGCACTGATGATGTCCCCTCGATTAGTGACGAAACTTTCACAATCAAACTGCCCAGCTAATTTATTGATCATGCTTACTCATTCTGAAGCAAAAGGCATGCCTCAACCAAACGACGGCCTAAGTGGAAAATCGCCACCTTGTAAACTGAGACGTATCTAGCTAGGGTTCGAAGGGTCACCTATCCCTTTTAGTCATTTCGGTTGGGACCATCTGTCTCCAGGTTGGATCAAACTAAAGTGGAGAGCATTTGATTCAGTTTTTGTCCATCGGTAGTGCACGCACTTGGTCTCCCCGTGAACGTGTTTGAGGTAAGTCAGTCACTTCTGAACCGGCAAACCCGTAGACACCCTGACCCACTGATATGACTGATTTATTCAACATGTTCCGGACGTGCACCAAGTCGTCATTCCCTCGGTCAGGCGAGCAGTCACATCTAGCGAGAGCGAATGTGCTCACCGTTAAAAACTGAATAAATCCACCATTCTCTGTGTGTATTAGAGGGAAAGTTATGAAAAGCTCGCTCCACTTGTCAGATGTCTTAAGTCCAATCTAGGCATTAACATGGATACACAACGCCGCGTGGTCCCAAACAAAAGCACTCCGCATTAGCGTGAGGGGAACAGGAATGCACCATTCAAAAGCATATAGTCCATACTGTATATATGTACATATATACATATATGGATATACATATATGGTCCATATTATTCCAATGAATGCTGGTAACATGTTCTGTATAGTTCTGAATATATTTAGCGTTTTCTCTCGGGACTACGAAACTGAAAACTACTGATTCTGCAAGTGTATTTGAGCTTTATGTTTGGATTGAAGGTGATACATCTATCATACCTTATGGAATACTATCCCAACTTAAAGGATACGGTACCAAAGACAGTTTGGTTTTTTGGACTTTGATCCCAAACACAATCAGGTGGCTAAAATTAGCTCGTAGGATATATATATATGGTCCATATTATTCCAAAATGCTGGTAACATGTTCTGTATAGCTCTGAATATATTTAGCGTTTTCTCTCGGGACTACGAAACTGAAAACTACTGATTCTGCAAGTGTATTTGAGCTTTATGTTTGGATTGAAGGTGATACATCTATCATACCTTATGGAATACTATCCCAACTTAAAGGATACGGTACCAAAGACAGTTTGGTTTTTTGGACTTTGATCCCAAACACAATCAGGTGGCTAAAATTAGCTCGTAGGATGGTTGGTCCGTCGGGTGTTTTCGTTCCGAATTTACAAACTTTGATCATCACCAAGATCAAACTAGAAAGAAATCAATTTTTCACTTATGTTCATTAGGGGTGAAAATTAATGTAGTTTGTTGAATCTAGCTAATTCATGACCAACAATTGGCATGAAACTGTTGGACCATTAAATGAGGATGGAGCTGACCTAGGATCTTGAACTGCACAGGTGCTGTACACAACATTCTGATAGGTATTTAGGTGTAGCTGCTCACATCACGTGCGGAAGAGGCGACATAGGTGTTCCCGACTAACTCAGTAGTTTTTGTTAACCAAGAGCATTAAGTTTATATGATGGATGAGTTTGTCGTGTAGTTCTGATGCACCAGGAGAGTGCGCATAGGACGAAAAACATCTGAATGGTTCTGTGGGGATTTGAACATACGCCTGGCTGTTTAATAAAACGTGTCATTTTACTGAAGGCCTTTTGCTAGCACATGGCTTGTATGTTTACTTTGGGGCGCTTGAAAAACGAACGAGTGCATTGTGTACTCCGGTTGATCACTCCGCTTCATATTTTGTCCAACTTTACGTCGCAGGACTCAGGTGAACAAACTTACAATGCCGTAGCAAGAAGTATCCAACTGAGTTGTGAGGTGCGATTAACGAGTCACAGTCCCTCTGAGAGGTGGTACAAACGAGGCTACATTGGCTAGGTGCTCGATGGAACTCGAGTTCCTTAATCATGCATCTTTATCTCTATGGGATCCTAACCAGCCCTTTTCCGGAACCATTCAGTCATACACGGGAAGCGTTAAAGGATTTTCACGCTTGATTACACAAGCGACTGCTTTGATGAGCCCCAAGAAGGGTAAAACCGGTCGTGGGCTGTACTGGCCGCGTGAGTAGTTTCCTTTACAAATAAAAGAGCTCATAGGTTTGATATCCGGCCATAACGATGAAACGTGGTGGAGTGATGAAACGAGAAAGCTCGCAGTGACGTGAGTTAGAAGAATCGATCGGAGAGCGTGATGAATGTGCTGCCCAGTAAATTAAACACACAAGCTGCTTGGAATGATAAGATCGCAAAATATCTTCAGCGAAGTAGTCAAAAAAGTAGATAAATATTTGTGTTTGATACGCGCGTGAAAGTGAAAAACATTTACTCTTGCATCCGTATGATGAATTTCTTAACTGCCGTTTTGGTGAACATCAATTCAGTCTCAGACATCACGTCAGAATTAAGAGAATCAATACCAGACGGGATGATCTTCTTGCAGAAGTGTAGTAAGACCACCAAACAAACGGGTGGGTGGACGTCACCGTGGGTTTGGAAGTCAGGCTTGTTTTCAGCCAAGTACAGCGGAATCGTTGGATATGCATGATAGTGCAATCTACAGAGATCATAAAAATCCAGGGAACAATAAAGAAAGTCATTGTCGAGTGAGCCAGGCGCAGTCAACTTCCACTGAAGGCCATATAATGCATCCACCGATCGATAGCTCCACATAGAGAATGGGGACATAACGACAGGTATAGGAATTCAGTCTGCCCAAAATCACTTAAATTCAAACAAACGTCAGTGAAAACATGGGAAATGGGAAAATGGATGGTCGATTTCGAAAAAAGAGCCGACATCTGCGACCGAAGCATCAACCCATGACTTGAGTGTAGATTGTCAAGGGGTAAAAAATGGACTGGGATGAAAGTACTATACTAGATGTAGCTGAAAACTCTTCAACAGCTCACGACCGGTTTCGCCCTTCATGAGGCTCATTAAATGGGAGCAGTCCCTGAGTTTCCGCCAAAATTAAACCTAGATAGATTGCAGATGCAAACCGCCGGAAAAAAGAGAGAAATAAGTTAGGCTTCAGCTTTACAGCCTTTGTTCAACACAGAAGCTACTGGCATCATCAATCACAATAATTTGTTACATGCGAAATGCCATCGGTACAAACCGCCTTGTGACTGGTGCAGTGATAAAGTTCTCGAATTTCCTTTCCTATTCATCATATCCACTCGTCACAATTTATCTTCATGACTCAGTGTGTAAGCATCAAAATTGTACCCAAATGTCTGTGAGGAAAACTTGTACCGGCGACAATCTTTTGCGCAAAGGGGCTTGTACACTCGCCGTTTCTTTAAGGCTCAAACAAGGGCTGATTAGAGACAGATTTTGCTCCATTATCTCCTTTATTAGCGCGGTAAATCGACATTTTGGAAGCAGATTTATCAGTCTTCGGTGTTTGATCTGACCTGGGGCGAAATCGCCCCAGTGGTTAGAGTGCGAATTTACTGACCGGAAGGTTCGTGGTTCGAACCCTACCTGTCTCTCGACTTTCCCTGTCTAGGCTTGGACAACCTGGCAGTATCCCAGCCCTCGTGCTTCCTTCGGATGGCATGGCAGCTAGGCACCGGAATGGTACTACAGCTGAACGTCTCTCGTTGAGCTGGAAAACCGCAGCGAAACATTTGCTCGAGGAACCCGTGCACTCACCAAAAGCACTGCTTTCTCAATACTGTCAGAGGCTAAATGTTCCCTCTGTTCATCAGGAGCTATTGAATTTGTGTCAGATCAGAAAAGACTACCAACAGAGACCGCTGATGATGAGTGGCAGAAGTGTGTCACTGTTTGACATGCAGTATGCGTCATCAAAGCTCCACAATCGCACTTTGCGGGTCCGTGAGTTGTCTTGTCACAAAAGCTGAAGGTGGTCCTGACCGAGCGATGTGTGAAGTCATTCAGCCGCTTCTGCTCACACTAGGTGTGAGTTTTATTAAAACAACACGTAACAATCAGCAAAGGCTGAGAAAACGTCTTCATCAACCACGCAATTACTAAATCATCAGGATAAAACCTGAGGGATGAGTAAGTTGGAACAGTTTTGTCGGTGAATCCCTTCACGTCACTATGTGTTTCAGTATCTCTTTACCACTGACTCAGACGCTCTCCGTGCAAATAAAGATACTGGTTTACTTGATCACGGTTTTTTTTCTGCTGATGAAAGTAGGCGACTTTCCAAACCCTGGCGCAGTCGTTTGGTTGCTATTACATCGTCAGCCCTCGGTAATATCCACCTAGACTTTCTATTTGTCATTTACAAATAAATCACCATTTTCGCCACAAAATGCAAAGCGACCTGCATGGTGCTTCATAATAGAAAAAACCAATCATTCAACTGTAACATACTTTCGATGTCTAGCTGCCATGTCACCCGAAGGAAACATGAGGGCTGGAATACGACTGGGATACAGCTGGGATGCCCAAACCTACACAGGAAAAGTCGAGATGGTCCGAACCATTGACCTTCCGGTCAGTACATTCGGGCTCTAACCACTGGGCCATCACTCCCCGTCATGATAGTTGACACCCAGTAGGAGAGGAAAGTCGATTTTGGAGCTGATCAGCACTACAACACCATAATCAGGGCCACGTCAAAGTTTCAAGCTGCTAGCTTGGAACATCGCACCAGAACAAGTGATATTGGCTATTTGAATGTATAACTATGCCAAAAAACAAGTGAAGTGATGTGTCACTTCACCATGGGAACTGTGGAATTATCCAGGATGGCCCTGTTCCAATCAAGTAACGTTCATCAGTAACGGAGTTCAGAATCCACTTTGCAGTGAATGTATTTCGCATCTTGTTCCTTGTTTCATACGGAAAATTTGTACACTGATCAAATTTTAATAGTATCCCGTTTTTATTTTGTTCACTGATTTTTAGAATTTACTGTCGTTTGAGTTCTGGTTCAGGCATTCTGGTGAGTTTTCACTAAACGGGGTAAGCACCGGAATCTAGTTTCTCTGGTATTAGAGCCCACCAAATCTACCAGCGCTGGTGGCCTAGTGGTAAAACGCTCGCCTAGCATGTCAGGGATATGCACTTATGTGAGTGAAACTCGGGTACAGTGCTCCCCTCCGTTGGTATGGATTCATCAAAATTATTGAACCAGGACTGACTGTTCATACACGAGTGCGGTGAGTGTGAATACCTCAAATCCCATTAACACGCACAACTAAACGATTTGTGTGACTTCACTGCGTTTGAGCAAGTTTCCGGCACAGTTTACCTGTAAAATGCTTGTTATACGAGATATTTGATGAAAGTATCAAGAAGAACAATGCTTTCATAGCGGATCCGCGTACCAGAGTCGTACATTCGCTCTAATCTGTCTGAACTAGTTAGCTCATGGTCGTTGGTGAGTTCGCTGAGCTGGGCAATTTCATTGAGAACTATTCATCATCAGTCGAGGTGACATCATCAATGCGTTGTTGGGGAGTGTGGCGGTGCGTAGCGATGGGGTGGCTGTTGTGAGCACCAGGTTCATTTAAAGGAAATCGAGGAGGAAAGGAGCTCAAACAGGTGTTTACAGTTCACATGCCTTTTCCCATCGGTAGCGGCTTGGTATTTTACACCTGCTTGTATTCATGAAGAATTTACGTATTGCTGTGTTGAAAGGGATGTTGACATTTAACAGAAAAACCTGTCAAGCTTTTTTCCGTCAGCTGAACGACTAGACAAAGTAGCCCTGCTTTAAGGTAATGTCGTCTGAGATACTTCATCGATTTCCGTCGTTTCCGAGGACAACGTGGACAAGATTATATCGTTTCATAATCTGTGTTTAAAGAGCAAACTTCTAAAACGCCATCATATCGGTCGAAAACCCCTTTTTTTTATCCATCGTCTTCTATTTGGAACCAGTTTACAAACAAAAATAACCAAACTGGAAGACTTCTTGATACCAGTTCTCGAACTAAACGTTATGCTTTTCCAGACACGAATAAGCCGAGTACCTTGTCAGTTTCGGTCCAGCAAATGTTTAGCTTGCAGAAAAGAGCTGCTACTGTACGAACAAGGCAATAAAATTTCACGTACTGCTAGAGATAACGACTTATCAGCATGGTGATTACTAGTGTTTTTTCCGCCGCACAATCAGGCTTCGCACGCAATCCTGCTGGCGGCAGCCAATCAGCACACGCCACACTTCAACTGATGACACTAGCCAATCATTGCGCTGTACGCACCCTGAAAACACCTGTTAAGCAGACAGATCGTCGCGTTTGAAATCGGACTACTGTTAACTTTAAGCAAATCGATATTGTTACGCAACCATAGCAGCACCGACTCTTGATCATAGGCGTGTACAACGTGGCACTGCAAATACAGGCGGAAACGTCGTCTGGAAACTACACGAACACGGATAGTAATGTTCAGGAGGGTTAAAATTCACCGAAATGAGACCAGTCGCACCGTAACTCCCTAACAACCACCAATTAATCATGTACCGAAACCGACGGAAACGATAACTGAATGTTCGCCAAGAAATTTTCTCAACTTTTTGCCTTGTGCTTATCAAAATACTGACGAAATTTGCCAAGCACTTCACCTGTGAGCCATGCGAAATGGCCCGTTGGCCAATGCTCGCTACTATTTCCGACCTCGGTCATGTTTTACCACCACTCCGCTCTTCGTCTTGCGTAAAGTTACTTGGCTATCGGTCTTGGGGTTCATTCCTGGAACATAATCACTATAAGGCATAGGATGGTACTCACGTCGCTGCGCTACCGTCACAATATCCGGGTTCAATCACTGTGACAACACTACCGCCAGGGATGAAGCTGTTCTCACACCACCGTTGCGTGGATAGGGCAGTGTAAACTTAAAAAACAAACTCACCATTATTAGAACTTCTTTCATTGAACTGTCATTCAGGGAATCCACGATTCCAAGTGGTTCAACTGGAAAAGATCGGTTATAAATTTGCCAATGCACCGGCTTTTCATTAGAATACTAGCACTCTGAATTGTTTTGCGTATGGACTAGTCAAGAACAACGATCGGGTGTTTTCACAGCACGTACGCACCTGCGAAATTGTCTCCTAACTGAGTTGTACAATAACTCGTCACCAAACAACGGAAGTCTAATCCGTTTGTTACTTTCTACCATGAAATCTAGCTGTCACAGCCGTTAGCATTCTTAGTCCGCTCTAGAGGAAACAGAAGACAGTCAAAAGGTTGAGAAATTTCGGCATTCGCTATGCATCAGAACATTGATTCTTCCCATATATGACAGCACATAAATCATCGCCATGTAGATCATGATAAGGGCCCCTGTCACCTTAAACAACTCTGACAACCAATTTTTTCGGAGGTCTGTGCTACGATTTTGCTTATGGATCGAAAAGTTGATGCAATAAAAAGCCAGTGCCTGCAAACATTCACTCTCTGCAGTACTAAGGTAGTACAGTGAGCGATGAACAGAGTAGCTTAGCTCTAATGGACGTTCCTCGTCCGCTTAGTTCATTCAAGCTGTCAGGCCACTTTGAACCTAAAGGTCATCTGCACAAAAGCAAAATTATTATACATGCTTTTTGGGATTCTGGATTTGGCCTGCTATTTTTCGCTAGTTTCTGTTTTATTCCCCTATTCCTTGGTTGAACGCTCTTCTTCAGGTTACTCCATCACATAAAGAACATCGCTCAATCTAACTGGTCAAAAACAAATTCATCGGAGTGTTCAAAAGCTTGCATATCGATCAAACGGCACATATCCTCTAGTTAGACATAAATGGGTAGCACTGGCTTTTGTCGCTAATTGAATAAACAGCTATCCAACAGGGTATTGGGGGTTCCTTTAGTGTTGACGAGAATATCTCAACCCAGCAATGTAGAACGCATTCTCCGACTCCTAGGACGTCCTTATTTGAACAAACTATGAGGAATCCAGTGGTTCGATGAGATTGGAAAAGAATTACTGTTACTGGCGCGAATCTAAGTTGAACCATAGGCCTTCAAATTAATCATTGTTGTATGCCAGCGAAGCATCAGCGCTGAACACTGATCTCAGGCCTTCGATGATGATCATGATGAACGAACCTGATACGGCACTGTAAGAACCATTTAGAGAAGTGCATTCAGTGTCTCTCTTGCAACAATAGAAGAAAAATCATAGAAAACTGAAGTACATCGCCTTGGTATGGTATACTAGTTCACCGACTAACAATGTGCGATATTAACTTGCACTGACCTGTAAATCAATGCGTCACGAAAATCCGTTTTCATATATTGAATGAGCCTCTTGTAAAAGTGTGCACAGCATGGTTTGTTGTGATTTTTTGTTTCGTCATGACCATCGTCATCATCATCATCACCGACAGCATGTGGTCAGTGTTCAGCACCGATGCTTCGCTGTCGTACACCCATGGTTTATCCGAAAAACTTATTATAAAGGAAGGAATAAAAGTGGACCGGGGGCTTAGTGCTGGCTTACTACAATCATTCCGAATTGCCTATGTCTCCAAACACTCATTCAGCCAATCTGGATAGAAACTGGCCATAGGAATGCCATTGACAGCGATTAAAAGTCATGTCGTGCACCATCTCCAACCAGGTGCAATGGGGATCACGTGGTCCCCATCCTGAAAGGTGAGTAGCACCGAAAACACCCTAAAGTTTCGTAATCTCTTTCATATCCCTCTGCCAGGTCAAGGGTTGTTCACCTCTCTGCTTCCTTTACTCTGAACGTGGGCACGAAAACAGCACCATGTTCGGAAAGCAATGGTTCGGTATGCGCGACACATGGCCTAACCAACGCAGCTTCTGATACTGGGCATACTCCACTGAAAGTTGCCGTCACGCAGCCGAATACTCGCTTCCTAATTGCCTCGTTATGGATTCACCCCATACCAACCCACACGAAGTGTGGTTGTGAGACAGTGACTGTCAAATACCCGAAGACGGCTCAGTTCCTTTGCCCGAACAGGCCAAGTCTCACGGCCATACAACATAACAAGCCGTACTGTAGCCTGATAAACACATCTTCTGAGATTCAGAAATATACCGCTTTGACACCATAGGTGTCTCAAATCAGCAAACGCGGCCCGAGCCTTGCAGATTGGTGCATTGAGTTCATCCGTCAAACTACAATCAGAACTAATACAATCTCCAAGATACGTAAAACACTCCACAATTTGGAGTGCATCTCCCTGGATTGTGACTGGCTTGTTCACTGACTGCATGTCCAGGAGCGAAAAATTCACTCCATAGGTGCAAAAAGGCGTACCAAAGAATTGGTGCATTGAGTTCATCCGTCAAACTACAATCAGAACTAATACAATCTCCAAGATACGTAAAACACTCCACAATTTGGAGTGCATCTCCCTGGATTGTGACTGGCTTGTTCACTGACTGCATGTCCAGGAGCGAAAAATTCACTCCAAAGGTGCAAAAAGGCGTACCAAAGGAATGACTGACTTTGGTCAGTTCATCCAAAAACACCTGCGCCCTCTCCTATTCTTAGAAGATGGGAATGATGTCGTGTGCATATTCCAGACAGGCTACTTGAACACCGCAGTTTTGAAGACCTTCATGCGATCATCTCATCATCTCGTCAATTACGAAATTGAATGGGGACGGAGAGAGAGTGTGTACTCTTAACGGATACTACTTTATGTATTGATTGTTTTGGAGGATTGTCCGTATACTCTCACACGTTCAAAAGTTCATTTGGTCTTTGACTACACCATAACGAATGAACAACACTATGTAAATATGATTGGGTTACAAGAATGTGGTGTTCCAATGTTCTCTTCACAACTCTTGGATGCATCTAACACTCCCCAATAAACTCACTGCAATCTAACTACCTGGCGGTAGAAGAACGCAATGGACACGTAGAATTCTTTGTGCTTGAAAAAAAAACGACATCCGATAGTTGAAAATACATCCGAAACTGACGAGGCCGAGAGATGCGCATAATGACAAATAATGGTTATGTAAAATCTACTTTTATGCTATTACGAGTTGTTTTCAATTCTTTAATGTAAAGTATTGCTTTTTCACAGTAGAGACATTTTCGATCCATAGTTTTTATGACTTAGCGAATGAAAGCATCGCCGGCATACTAGCAGAAAACACGCTACTGCACGACCAATTTACTACGCTCCAAGCGAACCAGAAGGCGGGTAAACACGGTAGCTGATGCGAGCAGTTGACAGGTAACCGCTCAGTTGCAACCTGGTTCTGGAAACAGTAGAGCTCGAAAAAGTTTCAGACAACACAGAGTTTGACTCCCCATATTTGTTTATGCTTCTTACGTGGAAGAATGACATTGACTCGCTTCTGGTGTATCGAGTAAATTCCTGTGTTACGCAATCGCCAGAACAATCTCACTTTTCACTGAGAGGTATTTTCACATTCGAAAGAAAATTTTCTAATTGTATATCTTGCACCATTCAGTGTTGTTTACAGTGTGCACTTTACACTGATAATCGTTCTGTGAACGCATGGAGCTGTCTCCAAAAAATAGTTTAAACGGGTACCGGAGCGTCGCTTTCCAGACTCCACCCAATCGCTCCACAGGAATTGTGAATACTGAGCCAGATCTGGCACACCCAACAGTTAAGTCTCCTTATTACAGTGAATGAGGTCACATGCTTAGCATGCGTTTGGAGTGTTACTTCGCACCATAAGATAATTGCAGTGAAAATGGCTTTGCTGCTAATAAGAAGTCCACAGCTGGCTAGGAATATATTTGATGTTAGCTACCAAAAACAACGCACAGTTGTAATATAGCCGTTCCGACATGGAAACGTGGAGTCGTGGCCATTAATAAGAATTAGCCGGATCAACCAAAGGGGTCCTCGCTGCAAAGGGGCACGCAGCAGCGTTCGAAAGTTGCGGGAGGGGGTGAAAATCTTTCGATTCTTCTGTACCAATTACCGATGCAGTGCGCTTGTGAATGCCTGAAAATGATTGAAAATCAGTTAATTGATCATGATATTTCTAGCTCATATTAATTTTTGTGGATCGGCTGATTGGGGAGGCCTGGCCTCGAGTGAACCGATTAGCTTGCAGTGATCTGATGTGCCCAAAATTCGCAGACACTGGGAATGAGGTGAGGATTATATCGTAAAGCAACGGCGTCTCGCACAGCACGAAGATCGATGTGCGTAACTTCGTAATGTCATTTAAATTTGGCCCACAGACTTAGCTTCTATTTTCTGAATAAATGGTTCGTGACATAAACTGAACTATTTATGAGCCACAAACAGAACATTATCCCCAATTTGTTAGACCAATCAACTGCAATTTATGCGTCTTTCCGTCACCGTCACACTTATTATCATTGGTCTGACCGATTCTCACCACTGGCTGCATCTTCTAGAGAACATTCCAGTTCAGTTACAGTGTACGCACTTATTCTCAAGAATTTGGCGAAAATCTAGCAATTTCCAATCTAAGACCAGCTGATCGTATCTTCTGGGCCATCAACGGCTTCTACAAACCAGTTCCACGGTGGATTATACCCATACTCGATGCCCACGGAAATCCGATTCGGTCACATATTACTCTGCATTGTTTCACTGTCCCTGTGAGGTAGTTGCATGTAGTTGCAACAAATTTTCAACAAAAGTGAACATGCACCTTCCCGGAAGAGCGGTCAGTTCCATTTTCATTTGACCGAAAATTGCTTGTTTTGGTTGAGCGACTGTGATAAATGCTTCACCAGTTATCCGCTTTATGTAGGGCGAAGTTTTAAGCCGTTGGCTGAAGAATGGTCAGCATTTGCGCCAGTCCTGTCAGTTGTAAACTAGGTTGGTCTAAATACATCGGTAAGTTCTGGTTCAAACTCAGTCGGGGCGAGCTTCATCAACCGTACGTGCACCACATGCGTAGCTACAAACTACCTCACCAGCTGGGCCTTCCCCGAAACATACGCCTTCAATGCATCGTAACCGGACATGCGATTAGCGAACCCACACCACTATCTTCTAAGGTGATGACCATCATCTTACCTGGCCCCTGACAAATCTGGTCTTATGGGTTTTTCGCCAGAAACAGCGGTTAAAAACAACTCCATTTATGGTCGTTCATAATCGTATGGTAAGTCCATCTCCCCTTCCGACGGAAAGCAATTCTTTGAATGCAGACCACCATGGCTTATTGATCACATCAAGTTTTCCGCCCCGGTCTGTTAAGTGGTGCCATCGTGATTGACGGAAAAAAGATTCTGCTTACTAGCTGGATTCGTATTCCGCTTCTACGGACGGCTTTATTTGTGTGCTTCGACGTCAAAAGAGCTGGAAGATACTACGTAGATCCGACAGTGAATAAGAAAAAGGGAAAATTTTCCATCCCGATGACAAGTAACAAATCCTCAGCTGTTTTGTTTCCTTCCGTTTCAGGGGGAGAGAATTTCATGTGGCTACTCGAATCGACTCAGTAATCTGGAATAGGAAACGGCTTCCGTTTAAATCTGATTGCTAAATTTGCATTCCTGGCTGTCTGTACCAAGAACAACTCTCGTTTACGGGTGCGACTGCTGTCAGTGGAAGCCAGCCAACCGTAAGGCTTCTACCGCATATTTAAAAGATGTGCACACAATGTCTGGGTTTTTGAAAGAACAGCGGATGTCACACAGAGGACTGGTCCAAGCGTCCATACCACGAACTGTCTCAGTACTGTGGTGTTTTTATATAGCTCGTCCGAATTGGAAAACCGAATACCAGCACCCTACCTGGACTCTGTAAAGAATGTCCTGGTGGCTGACTCTTAATCACAATAATCAAGCTAGAAAACGCAAAAAAAATTCGCCAAAAGCCTGGCGTGACACATCAAGGCGCACGAAATACTTTCCAATGTGACCACAAAACATCTCAGGTTTATTCAAAATGTTGATCGTGTCATTTCGTTACTACCGGTAATAAACTGTGCAAGCAGAAAGAGACAAAAAATCGTTATATCTGACAGACAATCACGCAGCCAGAGTTCTTAGTCGTCGCACCTAACAAAGACCTTTATCTAGTCGTCTTGGATAGCTGGAGCGCTCCGAAATGAAGCGATCCGTTCGACCTAGGTGGACCGAGAATAACCAACTCACGCATTTTTCCGCACCAGGCTACTGGTTCGGAAGACAGTACCCAACACAAGATTGGAAAGGATGCAACTCAGTCTTGCAATTCCAAACGAGGACTTTTATATTGTAGAATCACAAAACACTACATGACAGTCGGCTGCAGTTTACCTATGGCAATCAGACGTCCAAACTTCGGCTGTGCGTTTCCAGTTCGGAGTAATGATCTCAACATCTGAACTTGAAACGGGCAAGAGAGAGTAGATGGTCAGTGTACACTGAAATGCGAAGGCAAGAAAGGTTTCTTCAAAAAAAAACGCTAACTGAGGATCCGTCCGTTTGCTATGTAAAGCGATGTATCTGGCCAGCCCTCATAGATGAAATTCTTCGATGAGGTACCTCTTGACGAAGCTCTATAAACGGTTTCCACTTCGGTCAGATGTACTTTGAAAAAATCACTAAAGTTCACGTGCTGACCTAAAGGTCATCCAACTCTCATGCAATAATAGAGTGCTGACCGAACTTCCTCTCTGGAAAAGGAAAATTTGACAGGGTTTCCTGAGTGGTAACAACTTGGGGGTCGTGTGTTTATAAAAACAAGAGTAATTCGGCACAACCATGAAGAGTAAATCAACTTGCCATTAGGTAGGATAGTCAGCCAGGGGGTGAACCAAAGTTAAGTTACTGTTGTCTACTAATAACTGTGCCCTGATATCGATAGAAATACATACCACCTATAGAGAGTGGATGAAAAGTCACGCCGCACTAGGACTAGGCGAAGTGGACCATGAAAAGAATCATCATATCCATCGTCACTACTACTATCTGCGTAGGGAGTTCGAGAACACTGATGAACTTGGGATTTTTCACTTTTGAAAAACCCCAACAGAGGCACCAACGCATCCCTTCGGAAGGAGAAACAATACAAAAAGCCTCTCATCACTGATCTACGTCAAGAGTGGTCTTGCCAGGATGTTTAAAAGGACGGCACGATAATATTTTTCCATGGACGAACATTTACTGGGAATTTTTAGCCATTTCAGTGGATTATCTGCTTGACACAAAGATGCACTATACAGTCGACGGGGTAAATATACCACTAAGGTAACACTGGATGACTTGTAATTCATACATCTAACGGAGCATACTACTCACAAGGTTTCTGAAAGAGCTTCGATAACCTAAGGTCGGTTCTGCCCTTAGACTTCACCAGGTAGGGATAGTCCATAATTTTCCCTCAAACCAAATTGTGTTCAACTCGAAAAAGCCAATTTGGCTTTATCAAGGGAGTCAGTTGAGTCCCAGCTGAATCTTTCGTTAGAGATGTTCTTCAAGTGAAGGTTGACATTCCGAGATATTCGATTAAAAGAACCTTACGGTTACCGAAAACTCCTCGACAGCCCACAAACGCTTTCATCCCTCTTTGAGCTCATCGGGTAAGCGCAGTCTCCTAGCACGTTTCACATTTTTTGCACAGTCAGACTGCAGAACAGAATGTGGCTTCTTTAACTCCTGTGCTGTCAGACTCGACCAAGGTGCTTTTCGAAGCCTCCATTGGAATGTTTCCTGAAGGACAACATATACGAGCAGCAGTCACCATGTAGGGGTTTCGACCTGTAACAATGCACGCGGATCATTAACAATTAACAGACTAATGGTTCAATCAGTCATTCATTAAACAATCAAGCGCAATGCAATAGAAGTCGAAAAATGCAAGTGCACAAATAGTCGTTCGGTGTCTAGCTTCCATGCTACCCGAAGTAAGCAAATGTAAACGAATAGGGTGTTCTTTGATCAAATGTTGTGAGTCCGCATAGTAGTAAAGATGTTCCAAAACTTGGTATTTCCCAAGAAACCTTCAGCAAATCAGCTCAAGCACAAAGAACAAAGGACTTTGTTATTTTGGTTTTGAAACCGTTTGTTTGAAACTTAATTCCTACAGGGAATAGTGAAATAGGGTGTTGCCCCATTGCAAAATGCGGAGGATTTCGCAAAGCATACTGTCTAGAGAGAAACTGCTGCAGAGCATTTCGCCTTCCCTAGGCATTTTTGGTTTGAGCCACGTTTGTCCGAAGTGTTTACTCTGGTGTCATTTCCCTATCATAGGACGACCCTGATCGCCGTAAAAACGACTCCCTAATGAACCGAAGCCTGTGGGTTGTGAAACTCCTATGCTTTTGTTACTCGAAACGCATCCAAAATGACGATCGACTTGGATGTGCATGCTGACTGGTTGAACTATTGGTAACCCAAGTTGAGGGAGAGCCTAACTTATTTCGAAGTCAAAATCGTGCAAGCTGTGTAAGTGACCCATAATGAAGTGAGACAAATCGTTCGGCTGTAACACCCCTCCGGTGCCTAGCTGCCATGCTACCCGAAGGAAGCACGAGGGCTGGGATACTGCAAAGTTGCTTAGGCAGAGGAAGTCGAGAGGCAGAGGTCGGGTTCGAACCACGGCCCTTCCGGTTAGTAGATTCAAGCTCTAACCAGTTGAGCCGTCTCACCCATAATGAAGTGAAGTCGTTAGCGAATGCTGCAAAGTAGTCGACCAGGGTCCGTCACCAGTCCCAATGTGGAATTTTGGCAACAGGACCCGATTAGAATGAGAACAGAATGCGAGCCCCAATTACTCGTGTGCTTCAGACCATCGGATAGTAGTTAATCGTACTCTAGATAGCTCATTAGTTAAGGCCCATACGGACTAGAAGGTCCGCGGTTCGGACCCAGCCCAGGCATCTCGATTACTTGCTAGGCTTGGGCAGCCCAAGGGTATTTAAGCCCTTGTCCTTTCTTCGGGTGGCACAGCAGCTAGATATTGAAAGGTCCTTAAAGCTGAACGGTTTTACAGTGCTATCCACCTGCTGTAACCACATCTCCCGTATTTCTCTAGCCACCCAATACAGGAAACTAAGACGGGAATAATATTGTCAATCAATACTTAGAAATGCAGATTCCCATTTGATGGAAGCGTGTGAAAGAGATTATGAATTTATGTTGTTGGTTTGGTTCGTCTTCCAGGACGTGATCCTCATGACACCTCCCTGCGCCTAAATGGACACAATTCAAATGGTTGTTATAATCGATGTCAGTATTATTTCAGATTGTCTGATTAAACGCCTAGGGGTGCAGACACTTCAGGATCAGGCTCCCGTCTCAACCACTCTTGGCTTTCCACTTTAATGATTTAAAGATAGTTAAACTTTGTGGTCGTACAGCACTTGTACGGCACCAGCGTCATCACTGATGTTGCTGTCTCTGATGGCGGTGTGGTCATGATCCTTCACATTTGGATGCCGGAAGATCCTCAGTAAGATGTGTCGTCTGATCTTTCACATCATCAGAGTTACTTTACTTGGTTTGTCACGCAAAGCACACTTCGTTAGTTAGGCAGTCAGTCGCTATTGGTGATGAAATCCTTTGGAACAAAACACAAGTATTCTGCATCACGGAAAGCTGACATCGTCGAATAGGACTTCAGCAAACACCATACCGACCCTTCACCGAACGCCTAATACTCGAGTGCTTCGGAGTCCACGAAACCTTTCTCCAATTCTCTATTTTACTTCTCTTAGGATGGGTGTCCTACCGAATCTCGGTGGCTGCGATAACCCTGTCCGACTGAGCTGGCTGATCGGCCTGCTCTTGCTAACCTGAATGAAAACCTACTAAACCGAAGCACTGAATATATCGACGCCGTTCCCCTTCCCAACCTTCCTTGTTCAGAACCATTACCGCGCCTGAATTCCATGGTATACCTGATGGTATGATAAACACCGCTGAAGTCACTGGTGTCAGATTGTATTAGGATGAAGTGCCGCAACACAGCTCTCCATATGTGGCGACCGGTGGAATGTACTGCATACATTTCGCTCTAGTCCCGTTCCAAACGGCGTACAGCACAAACTAGCTAAAGTGGCAATCAACGTCAGAATTGGTAGAAGCTAGATAAGAACACATTCGCCCGCATGTCGATTTCACGAAACATGCGCGCCATAAGCGTTCTCATTACTACGTGCTTCAATCAGGAGGAACGGCAGCTCATGAAACCAGATTGAAAAGTTGACACGTCCCACATGTATTTGCACATTACCGCTTGGGTAACTGCTGTGACCCCAGTCAGGTTGGAATACACCTGTGGTTGCCGTAGTCCAAACAAGTCAACGTATGGGGAGGCATTCGGGAAAGTGCTTCCGGAGCTTGCTAGGCCGTCGGTTCCTAAATTATCACACTTGAAAACCGCCTGTGACCGGTAACGACAATCTATGCAGTGATCAACCATGAAGCCTCCATAAGCAGGCCACACGTAATGAACCTCTTGGTGGCGGTTCACAAGTTCCCTCAAAATGGACTTTTGGGAGAGCTCATGTGTGAAGTACAACCACGTCAAAGTGCGAGGCCTGTCAGGGTCGCTTATATCTTGGCCATCGGTTTTGCTCCATCTCCACTTACAAAACTTCCATATCACGGTCCCAACGCATCGCATCACCACTTAGACCTTGCATACCGAACGCGTCACTTCGCGGAAAAGCCTACAGTAAACTTTAGCATCTCTCTAACAGCGGCAGTCAATTCAGAATGTACCACACCGCAAGTACAGACCAGAGACTTAGAAGAAAGACTAACATATTAGAGGTAAGTTATTTAAGGTACCAAAGAATATACAGTTGAAAACAGGCCCGAAAACACCCAACAAAACAAGAGGTTCTGACATTATCTGATAGAAGTTAAAGTTCTTCATGGGTCTTCGACGCCTCCGATTCGCTATCGGTTGGCTCCGTCGAATCGTCACTGGTCTCCTTTTCAGATGATTCTTCTTTATCGGAATCCCCTTCACTACCGGATTCCTCTTTTGTTTCTTCAGACGCTTTCGCCTTTTCGGCCTCTTCTCGTTTCTTTTCAAATTCAGTCTCAAGCTTGTTCCGAGGTCTCCACACGCGTTCACCCTCCTCTTTGGCAAACTGAGGGTCATCAGTAATGAGAATCTCATCAAACACGGATCCAGAGGTTACTTGCCACAGTTCAAACCCAACATGAGCAATATCATCTCGCACATACAAATCAGGGTCTGGTTGGTAGTCCGGATTACTGATTTTCGGCGCTACCCATGGCCCTTTGTAATTAGGATTCGCAATTTTCCGGGGATGCCAATCTCCTTTATATTCGGGGTTGGGGATCTTCGGTCGCTCCCACTCCCCATCCATTTCATCATCCCAATCTTCAGGTTTTTTCGCATCAGGATCCGGAATATCTTTAGGCTTGTCCCAGTCTTCGGGCTTTTTATCGTCAGGATCATCAATTTCCTCCTCGTCTACCCAATCTTCAGGTTTCTTTGAGGCGGGATCCTAAATCAGTCGATTATTAAATCATAAACAAGGCTTACATCAATTTCCTTCGGAAGAAGCATATCCCAGTCGTCCTCCAGGCTGCCTTCCTCGACTTGCTCATTATCGATTAGGACCTTGAATTTGTTGTCCGGTGTGAGGATAAATGTGTACAGATGTGAGACCAAATCATCTTTACAGCGGACCTCCTTCTTGATGAGATGATTCTTCCCTTTGTAGCTAAAGATTGCGTGAACTTTCTTGGTGGAATAGCCACATATATCAGGACCTAATAATGACGTTTATATTACCAGCTCGCAAAACCCACCAAACATGAAAAGGTATGGAGTTTCACCGTGGAATGTTTTCTGGTCGATGCTCGAGGGCAGAAGTTTCAGATAAGCTCCTCCACAGCTGACACTTTGCTCATACTTGACGATGTACTGAACCACTAATGTCTTATCCCTGTTCGAGAATGGCTTATCGAGTTTTCGCGAAATGCCATAATATCTTGCATCAGCAGAAGTCTTCAGAGCCACCTCTTCAGGGTTATTCCATGCTTCATTAGAGAACAGCTCCCAAGTCCCTCGTGTTTCATCGCTATGATGATTTGACTCAACCCACTGTCCTGGTTTGTCACCAATTGAATCTGAAATGTTCGTTAAGTCCTTTGAACGCTCCAGGGAGCATAGTACCTTTGCTAAAGTGTTCATAAAAGTAAACCTCTGCATATGCAGAAAGTGCAAGAAACGCCAACAACGACGACCACCACATTCCTAAGGCGCGGCTCACGCAGGGAAACGTAAACCACCAGGGTCCGAACGCCCAATTTAACTAACACGACGACCAATGGAAAACGACCACAGAACTGATGACCCAAGTGTTTAGAGCTAGTAAAACAAATGATTCCGTTGTAGTTCAGCACTGAAAATACACGGATATTTGGATGTGAACAACAAGGCGAAACAAACCCCTTCAAATCTCAGTGGTACATCTGAGGTTATGACTTATTCGGGCGGTCAGTCAGTTGTGCCACCAAACAGGCGTATCAAGTACAGAAGTTCAAAACAACATACGCGACCATTCACCGATTTTCTGACAGGTAAGTGGGTAGGAGACCCTTGTTCCGGTTTCGCTGTCCGAAACGGTCAGTGATTGTCGATTGTCAGGTTTTCCAAACTGCACCCGCAAGGCAACTAAGGCCACCCGTGGGTATCACTCAATCACAATTGCGCGACGGTCAGCGGCAACATTCACAACTAGAGTAAGCAGGAATTTGAGTGCCTTGATTGTGATCCAAAGGCCCAAAGTAACAGCACTTTGATTAAATCTGTTCTACGTGCTTCGAGCTCGTGACGAAACGATGCATTGCGTACTCCACTTTGAAACGCTTTATTCGCGTAGACTACCGTTAGCGGAGCCGATTCACTCTCAAAAACTTCCGTCGAATCAAAACAACACATTTTGCGATCCACCATGTATTCAGATCCCGTTAGACGGAACCAGTTATCTCATAATCAGCTCCACCACCTCAAGTGTCTCAAATATTTTCCATCGGTTCCGACCAGTCATTCAGCAGAGCACTAGGATTCCGCATGTAGGCTCACTCACCAGATACTGCGCAGGCCAACTAACATACTCGCTGTATTTGGTTATCAACAACGGGAGGAACTTCGTTGATCAGGTCTTAATCAGTGCTTCACCGGGACCAGCTTGGGGGAGAAAATATACCGGACTATTGTCAGGAAACTTCAGGAGGCTGACGTGTTCATTCCAAAGAAACCAGACTAAAAGATGCGCATAGGGATTCGAAGCGAGTTTC